CTGACAATACCGGCGTCGCCCACGTTCAACGACAAGTCCATCCGATTAAAGCTGATGCCCGAGACGACCCGCTCGCCCACGTAGTAGCCTCCGGGAAGCTTTTCCTTTAGAAAGAAGCAACCTGCATGAACATGAGCATTCGGAGCTCACTGCGGCGCTGGTCTTCCCTCCCTGTCGCGCGTAGCGCGCCAGGGACGGCGCCAGAGGTGTCGCCGGGCGGGTCCAGCGCAGAGTTCCAAGAACTCTGCGCGGAGCTACGAAAATTCATGCCTATGCCGTTTCGTCTTCTTCGATCCTCGACCAAGAACATCCATGCCCGCATGAGCGCGTGCGACCCTCCTGGCGTGCTCTTCACGTAGAACAGGCTGCCGCTGACGTCGGCGCCGGCGGCCATCGCATCACACTGCGCGGACTGCCTCGGAGCGAAGACGACATCGTGGCCACCACTGACCTCTGTGAACGCGGCTATTGGGTCCTCCTGGAACTCGACCCCAGGCTCCGCGAAGAGTATGCCGCCAGCCGCACCGCTGAAGACGGCGGTGGTGAGCAAGGCGACCTTAACCCTCTGGTCGTCGAGTAACCAGGGCATCTCAACGCACGCAGAATTGCCAGCCGCGCGCCTGATCCTGTCAGAGGAGGAGGGATAGGAATACGAAGAGGAATGGAAGCAGGAACAGGCTCAGGAACAGAAATACGAATGTCCCGAGATCTGGCGTCATGAAAAAACATACGCAGCGCCGTGAAAAATCAAGACCAGAACTCCCAACCCCACCCTTCGGCGGCATTTCCCTAGCAGGATCGACCTGGAGCCCGGAGCGGGGCAAAAGCGGCCGTCGCGATTGTGTCACGTCCCCTGGCATCTGAGGGCAGGGAGATCCTCTCGCAACCATGCGCCCGGGTCACCACGACGGCCCTCGCGGACGGGTCGGCCGACCGCAAGCTGGCCAGCGTCATGACGGCCTTATCGATGTCTGTGAGGTCGGCGATGGTGAACACGACAGACACGTTATGGGCCCCTCCTGACGCCTCGAGGACGGTGCCCCTGAGCGCGGCGACCTCGTCGCTGCTCAGGGTGTCGAAGAAGGCTGGGCTCATGGCGTCGCAGCTGAAGGTCCTGAACAGTTTCGTGACCGGGCCGTCCTCGGTGGCCTCGTCGTGGCACTTGTGATAGCCACCCTTGTCGGTCAGGTTGTAGGACTGCTTGCGGAAGCAGGGGATCCCGCTCTGCGTCATGGCCCCGAGGGCGTACCTGATCCGCAGACGGCGCCTATACATCACAGTGCCTGGCCAGGGTCATCCTGGGCCCTGGCATGATCGTACGCCCTCCTGGCCGAGGCCCGAATGGTCTACACACCATCCTATGGCCCCGTATGGCCCTGGCCAAGCATGGTGGTGTTGTATACATGCACTCTGCGGACCTGAAACCAGTCGGCCTGACCCCGACACCCTCCGACATCGCCAGCTTGAACAAGAACTCTTCGGCGTTGCGGCTGTCCTTGAGCGCGTCGTGGGGCACTCGCTTCCAGGCCTCGTAGGCGGCCCCCATCCGATCAGCGGCGTCCCGACCCAGGTGGATCACTTTGTCATTGATGCCGTGCGCCTCCAGGCAGGAGGTGGACCTCAGCGTGGCGGGGCGAGCCTCGAAATCCATCGTGTCGAATATGTACGGGGTCAGCCAATAGGTGTCGTCGCGCGTGACCAGCACCGAGTTATACCGGAAGCCGTGCGCCAGCTCCGCCTCCCTCGCCTTGCTCAGGAGCCTCTCGATGGTGCGCCACTTTCTCAAAACGTTCTGGCCCGTTGCGGTCGAGAGCGGAGTGTAGTAGGACATGATGGTCCTGTGCGCCTCGTCGTTGGGCAGCTCGAGCGGCTGCTCCGTCTCCTGCTCCGCCACGCACCTGCCCGCGCCCGCCTCGAGGGACCACTCGCAGAGCAGCCTGAGCAGCTCCTTGCTGGAGGCGTTCGCGGTGCTCTGCTGGGTCATTCTCGGGTCCCTCGCATACTTCTGCGAGGAGGCCTCTGTCGCCAGCCACTTGCTCTCTCCCTTGTTGGACGCGTAGTTCTGCTCGTCAGTCTGCGGTTTCATCCCAAAGAAGATGTCCACCGGGGTGCCTGCGTCAACGTTTGCGCGCACGAGGTTCTCCTGGTGCAGAAAGGCCAGGAGGAAGGGAAGGATAGAATAAGAGAGTGGCGACGGAAGGGGGCCAAGCGCATATCCAAGAAATCCGCTCGGACCTCCGAAGAGTTATGTCGCCATTCTGGATCATCCCATAATTACCCCGGACGTAATGACTTTTACGTGGATCTCTCGATTTCCACAGAGCTGGGCTTCTCTCGGCGGCGAGCAGTGAGAAGGAACAGGCCTTCTCAGAAGGCGGCGGGACTTCTCAGAAGCCCTCTCGCCTTCCGAGAAGTTGCCTGTGCCTTCGGCGACAGCTTAGAAAACCTCTCAGAAGGCTGGGGGACTTCTGAGCCTTCTGAGAAGGCCCACCCCTTCTCGCTCCCCCCCCCCCGGCGCGCCCCCGAGTCTCGTCACGAGTCGTCTCTGATCGTCCCTCGGGTCTTGCCAGAGGTGGTCCTGGTCCAAGGTGGCCTCGGGCTTCCCAGGGAGACCCAGATGGCCTCCAGAGCCCCGAGCCTTGTCATCGCTCGGACGACCAGTCCCCGTGCAGTTTTCTCCAATTAGGCTTACCTTAGGAGTTCTTACTTGGTTAAAGGCTAGTACCTCGGTGGGTTACTTTGCCCGTTCCCCCGGTGCCCCGGGCTCCCCGGGCACCTCATGCCAAGCAATGCCAAGCAACCCCAGACAATGCCAAGCACTGCGCCCATGCATTAGGAAACTTTCCCCTGATTGGGGTCGCGCCGGGTTCGTGCGACTTCGTGCGCTTCTATTCCGCAGGATGATCCAGGATGCTCCTCCTCCTCCGCCTCCTCCTCTTCCTCCTCCTCCTCCTCCGCCTCCTCCTCCTCCTCCTCCTTTTCCTCCTCCTCTCCTCCTCCTCTCCTCCTCCTCCTCCTCCTCCTCCTCCTCCTCCTCCTCCTCGATCCTCCTCTCCTCGATGGTCCTCGCCGAGACAGAGCGCACACGTCCGAGCGATGCCGAGCCTCGCGAGGCCTGGAGGGCCGCGAGGGGCCCAAAAGTGGTGCGGCACGCTGGGGGCACCTCAGGCCAGGGAGCCCTGTTCCCATCGAGGGGCACATTCTGACTGGATGTTTTTTTGTTCAAGAAGGGGCCCTGGGACACACAAGTCAACAGACACGAATCCCAGGGTTCTCCATATCTCCCCCTATTTTCTGGGTTTTCGTCTCCCCACCCCCCCTCATCCCCATTTGTTCCCAGGTTTTCTGCGGAATCGACGATTCATTGTGTCTGTGTTTTTTCCTCTCCTGAAGCTTGCAGGGACGCAAGCCGCGGCAGCGAGCGGCCGAGCGGCTACCCCCCCCCCCCAGACAAGGTGAGGAGAGCCCCACGAAGCGCCGCTCCTCTAACTCTGATCCTCGATCCTTTAGACGAGCAAGTGACTACTTGCAAATGGCCTGCATCCGCCGCAGGGGATCTACGATAAACCACATCAAAGCAGACATGTGTTTTCCAGACGTTTGCAACTCGGCACTTTGCGAGTAGTGGAACGTGCTCGGTGATCCTTGAGCTCCTCGATGGAATAAATGATACCGGAGAAAAACCCCAATCATAATTTATTTGGGGCTATGGGGCTATAGGGCTATGGGCGATAGGGCTATAGGGCTATAAGGCTATTATAGGGCTATAGGGCAATAGGAATACACGGCTATAAAGCTATATAGGGCTACAGGGCACCAGGCACCCGGGCACCCGGGACCCGGGCACCCACCCGGGCACCGGGCACCCGTCACCCGGGCACCTGGGCACCTGGGCATCCGGGCACCCGGGCCCTGCCACCGAATCGGCGGCGAACCCGGGCACCCGGGCACCCGCACCCGGGCCCGGCCACCGAATCGGCGGCGAACCTCACCTCAGCCTTTAATCCGCTACTGGGATGCCCACGGTGGTTGTGAAGTGGTTCAGAGGGGATATATGTGGTTATGCCACCTTAGCTATCCACGATAGCATCTGCTTAGGCTGATCTACTTTAGGTCAGCATCTATCTGGATTAGCTAACCGAACTCACCTTGTAATGGGGGGGTGCTAAGTGGGATTGTCCTACTTAGCTAACCTCGCTAACTCAGTTAGCTAACCTCGCCAACCAAGTTGAGTTGCGCGGAAATCCAAACAAGGAGAAGAGGGGAGGACAAGGACCAGAAGGGGGGAGTGGGAGGACGAGAAGGGGGAGGAGGAGGAGGAGGAGGAGGAGGAGGAGGAGGAGGAGGACGGGAGCAGCAGGAGGAGCGGGAGTAGAGGGGAAAGGACAGGAAAGAGGAGGAGAGGGGGAGGAGGAGGACGGGGAAGAGGAGGAGTCGACCCCCTTCAGTTCTGCTGCTTCCGCGAAGCGTGGACGGCGCTGATACATCGGAGCGTCCAGGGCGCGCTGCAATCTCCCCCGTCCTCTCCTTACTATATTTGTGACCCCATCAACACCCCCACCTCAGTAATTCTTATCAGTGCGAAGCCTGATCCTATGAGGAAGGAGTACCTGCGCTACCTTCCCTGGCATCGCTGGGTAGCATACGCACGGCTCCAAGAGGCTCTCCAGAGGAACTAGCTTCACATGCTCTACTACCCTGCACTTGGCCGCGTGCGAACCCAACTCCACCAAATCCCACACTTCAAGGCAAGTTAAAGCCTTGCTGCCACTTGAAACGTGAAAGTATATTGCACCGAATTTCACTCCACACCCCTCGTGGAACGCCACAACGTCAGACATTTGAATTTTCCTACCATGACAACAAGCAGCTCTAGATGTACGCACCTGCCCCCAATCAAATACATGACAAAGCTGCGATAGAGCATCCTTCAATCTTTTTGAAGGGTCTGTCGGGTGAACCAGGGTGACACCACTCAGTGGATCCCTCAAGTCCCAAAGGTGTTGCATGGTTACGTTCTCTAGGAGCCCCCTCTCGTAGCTGGTCGTGTTCGGCCGATCCTGCGCAAACCGCTTGATGCAGCGGTGTTTTCTCTCGTGGAGAAAAATTGACAACAGGTGGCCTTGAGCTTCGAGATGGGATGGGATCTGCAAAACATAATGTTGGTTTGGCTTCCATAGACTATCTCCCCACGCCGCCCGATGTAGCCGCAAGTGTGGCTCTATGCAATACTTCCGGTAACCTGGCGTTATTTCGCCCGTGTTCACGATAGCCAACGCCCTGAACACCTTACACAAAGCAAGACCGCTAGTGACCATATCAACGCATACTCCTGAAGGCCCCACAAGATCAATCATCTATGTTCCAAACACTGGCATGACTGAAATAAACTCGGACGCGCTGCCCGATATCACACTTGGATGATTGCACATGTTCTTAGCGCGGGCGTAGCCAGATGGCCACTTGAAGCGCTGCAGGTACTCTTTGAGCTGTTGCTTTCCAAGGTTGTACTTCTCGAACTCCGCGACGCAAGCTTTGCACTAGTGGGCTGCAACTCCATCGATTAAGTAGCAGTGCATCCAGTCCCACGTGAAGCACGACACGAAGTCAATATCCAACTGCTGATCTTGGAGGGGGCCATTCGGCTCAAACTTCCTACCTAACATCATCTCTGTATCATGAAGCTGCGTCTTATCTCCAGACTCTGCAATCTGCGCCAACCTCCGACGTACCTGCTTCATCGACTTATCAGAATGACGATCGAATTTTGAGGTGTCAAGCTCAATGCCTGACACGAGATAACCAGATGCATCAGGTAACCAAGGGCAAGTTGGACTGGTCACGTTCTTACACAGGAGGCAAGGCTTGTGGGAGCCCGACGCTCCCTTACATTGCAAGGTATATGTGTGCGCACGTTCGTCTTGAATCAACGTTGCAAGGCGGCCAGACAGAACTCGAGGAGCCTCGCCTTCCATAACGAACTCGACCCCCTCCCTGAGGTCTAGGGGCCCAGGCCGACCGAAAAAATATGCGAGCACATCTCGGGTCAGTTGGGCCATCCCCCCTGGAAGCTTTGCCGCGACACTTGTGCGGACGGCTGTGATAGCCATCCAACTGGGCTCATTCGATAACACTTGCGGCGGGAAATCCAACAACGTCCAGTAGCAAGCTTGTAAACGACGGTCGTTCGCATCAGACAAAGGATTGCCTCGTGTGATCTCATCTGTGGAATACCTCAAACGCAATTTGTTGTTGCACCGATTCAATGTTTCCGTCAATACTTTGCGAAATTCATTCGATTGTTTAGCTGCCGTTTCCAAGAAACCGAACGGATGCTGCACCCAAATCTCAAGTCGCCCCACGGGTGCTCCGACACATTTTTTTTGCAACAGTGGTCCATACGATGTTCGTTGATGTGCGATCTTCTGGCGCTCGCGGGCAATCGTCGAGCGACTGAGACAATCAGGAAGCTCTGTCTCTGAAACTTGTTTCTAGATGGAGGCCAACGCGTTAGCTGAAACATGCGATGATCGGCCGAAGTCCGTTACCTTGGTTTTCTTTGGGGTGGAAAGTACAGTCATCTTGGCTAGCTTGGGCTAGACGGCTACGGACTCAACCAAGGGCGCCCGCGCTCACGCTGCTGATCCAGACGACACACGCAAACAAGTCAAGGACCCTTCAAATGCAATCATGACAACTCTTTGTGCATATTCGGTGACCGGCGATGCCCCCCCCCTCGCCTTCGCGCCCAGACTGGACCTTGCGCCGCCCCAGCCCACAGAGATGGGGCCACCTCGTCTCCTGGGGGGGAGGGGCGAGAGGGCGGGGGGAAGTCGGAGGAGGCGGAGGTCAGCCAAGGAGGCGGAGGCGGAGAGGCATACATTAGCACGGTCTTACGCAGGTATGACAAAGACGATGTGAGGAGGGGGCAGATGAGGATGAGGATGCTGATGATGATGAGGAGGATGAGGGGAAAGAGCAAGGGTTGCCTCGGGCTTGGCTCAGTCGCTACGCGGGGGCCTTGCTGCTCCACTATACTGGAAGGTGTAGCGCTGTGTGTGTGTGTGCGTGCGTGTGCGTGTGCGTGTGTGTTTTTTTGAAGGGGGAGGGGGGGGGGGGGGCGAGCGCTCGCATGGACGAGACA